GTACATGGCAGAGGTTGGATTTCAACTCAGGAATAACTCCAAATGTAGGGCTCTTTCCTCTATAATACATCTATCTTCTTAAATTCATGTAAACACAGTACAAAGCAGCTAGGTCAGTATTGTATCAGAGGAATAAGCAAAACGATTTAGTTCTGGCCTTGGCAGCCCAGAGACTGAGGTTCTAATGTGTTGAAATTTGGACTCAGTACTGATGGCTGGGTTTGAATCATAGTCTCAGCCCTAACCTTGGCTGAATCACTTACATTTGCAGCCTTCATTGTTTTTGGTGGGGCAGGGTGGGAGGGAACTCGTCTGTAAAGTGAGGAGGGTGTTTGGGTGATCTCCACGGGCTCTTCTGGCTCTCACTTTCTATGATGCTGTGACTTTAGGAGGTGGCATTTGATCTGGGCTTTGGAGGGTTGGGTGATTTTGACAGGCTGCCTTGTAAATGAGGGGAAAAGGTATTCCAGGTGGTGAAAACAGTTTGAGCAAAAACACAGTGGCTAGTAACTGTAGAAAGGATTCTGGGAATGGTGTATAATCATCTGGTCTGATGGGGCTAGAATTTAATCCTGTAGAAGACAGGAGAGTCAGGAGGAATCTGGCACTGAGCTGAGAGACAGCCTTGAAAGTTATGCCTAGGAGCTGGGAATTTTTTCCCTGGAATTACAGACTGTAAAAGGACCTTGGTCCTTTCTTTAGTATCCCTGACCTCTCTATATATAAATAATTCCAGTGACAGAGACTTCTAGACCATCTATTTTATTTTTTGACAGTTCTACATGTAAGAAAATTCTTCTGTACATTGAGTCGAAACTTATAGGTTTTACCTATACTTTTCCCAAGGTGTAGCTCATGGAAGATTATTAATGGTAGAGGAACATGTTCAGGGATATGTAACCCAAGGACCTGCATAGGTCTGTGGCAGCACACATATAGTATGTAGCCCAAAGAAATAGAACTTTAAAAAGCCTTTAAAAAGTATTGTAGTCATGAAGTATGTATTGAGCACCTATCATAGGTCAGTCACTGACCAAGAATACAACAATAAAACTGAGTTCCTGCACTCACACTCTTCCCAGACTCATGGGGAAGATGGATCAGTAGAGGGTAAGAGGCTAGGAATCAGGGGCAGGTAAGGATTCCTGGGAGTCAAGGAGCTGGCCAAAGTGACCAAGAAAGGAGAGCACTCAGGGAGGGGGAGCGTGGAGACAGAAACATGAGTGAATGTCCAGTCTAAGGAACTGAAAGATTTTCTATGGCAGGTGTGTGGTGTGTGTAACCTGCCCAGAAATGAGGCTGGAGCAGGAGACAGTGACTCGTCATGAGGGGCTGTGTTTGCCATGCCATGAGGATTCTACATTATATCCTGAAATTGATGAGAAGCCAGTATTCTTAAAAATAGTCTCCCTCCTCCCCAGGTTTTAGAATGTACTTATACTCCTTTTAAAAATATTAGAACAAATAGAAAATATGAAGGAAGAAATAAAAACACCATTAATCTCACCAACCAGAACTAACCACTGTTAAAACATTTTAGTATATTTCTAACCAAGTGTATTTCTATGCATAGGTACATAAGAAAAGCATGATTTTATTGCAAAATATACTTTGCATCTTGCTTTTTAGTGTAACATTGTATGGCAGCATTTCCCAGGCTATGCCTTTAAAACATTTTTGAGAACTTAACTTTTAATGACTACATATAATCGCCCAAAAGATGGCTGTATCTTATTATACTTAAATGTCTCATAATGGGTTAAAATTTAAGTTGCTTGCATTTTGTGATACACAGCTTTGTAAATTTGTATTCACATCTGACTATTTCCTTGGGATAGGTCTAGCTATGTCAGTGGTTGCCTTTCAAGCAGGGACATGTGTATTTGAAAAGCCTTTATGACAGCATTGTGAAGGGTGGATTGAAAGAGGTGATCCAGAGGCAAGCAGACCAATGTGGATGCTATTCGAGCAATTTAGACAAAGTAGGAGGGCATAAGCTAAAAGTTATTGGCAGCAGGTCAGAGAAAAAAGGAGACGGTAATTATTCTTAAGGTGTTTGTTTGCACAACAGAGCTTTCTGTGAACTTGATGAAAGATAACAGCATTTTTTTACATACTAATTTAGAGGTTGCAGGAGCCTCTAAAGAGGCTGTAGTGGGTAGGGAGAAGTAGGTAGGTGAAGTAGGGGGTTAATGGCACTCTTCTCTGAGATAGGAAATACCAAGGAGGAAGAACAAGTTTGAAAGGTTGGCCTGGGAAGGGGGAAATTATAATACTGGCTCAGTATTAGGTGTATTGCCTTGAAGAACACCAAGGTAAAACTGTCAGGACGATAGTTTATAAATCGAACTGATAGCTCAGGAGAGAGATCCGAGCAGGATGTTAGGGTGTGGGAGCCATCCCCATAAAGATGGTGGTGCTGAGAACCTGGACATGAAAGCAGTGCTAGAGATCAGGGTGTTCATGGTAAGAGGAAGTGGAACATAACCTGGGAGATGACAAGGGGAAACTAGAGAAGGAGCTAGGAGATAGCATGAGAAAAACCATGAGAGAGTGGTGTTGAGGAAGCCAAGACAGGCAAGAGTTTCAAGGAAAAGTCATCAAACTGTCATATGATGCAGAGGTCAAGCAAGAAAAGGGCTGGAGGGCATCCATGGACGGATCTAAGCCACCTGTAAATGTGGAACTCCCAGATCCCGAGTAACTGGGGGGAGGCAGGCCAGACTGCAGTGGAGCAGGGAGGGACACACAGAATCCAGGGAGTGGTGTCATGGGCTTTCTTCTAAGGTAGCTTGTTTGAGGGGATGGAGAGAGCAATGGAGGGAGCAGAGAGCTCGCTTTTTCTTCTTGTTTGTATTAAATAAGGAAAGCTAGATTTCCTAATCATTACATGACTTCAGTTTCCTCTCCAACATTTGCTTTTCAGCATACTTAAAGTCCTTTTGTTGGTGATTATTTTTTGAACACGGTATACTCTGCCTAAGCTTCCAATGAAAGCATGGCTGCTCAAACTCCTCACATCTTACTTCAAATTCTGTTTGAACCAGTTGAGACCTCCATGTTTGTGCATGTGGTCTCATTGGGTTTTAATAAGACTCAGTTTTTAAGCTTCAGCAACTAATATTTGGAATTGCAGTTTTAAAATTACAGAATATGACTTGTGTCCTTGAAGTTTGATTGTTACCTGAAGAATTGGTCAAAAACGATAAATGTTTAAATGTTGCAGTTTAGAGAATGTCTTTATTGTGTTGCCAAATGCTGAATGACAAAGAGCTTTAATTCTAACAAGCTTTAATTAGAAAGAGGAAAAAAAAATCAAAGAGTGATGTCAACCAGACATCAAAATGAACCAGAACAAGAAACACTTTTATTGGTTACAGAACATCAACAATGTGTGATATAGTCTTATTCCCTTCCTTCACCAACAATGAAAATACTGCAGGCCTCTCTAGGGGGTTCGGACCAGCAGTCTTATTGAACACATAATCGTTTTGATAGGTGTTTTTCGTTGGTAATATGATGATGCTCTTTGGGCCTACAGAAAATTATTTATTTTTAAAGATATGCTAAATGATTCTTGTCTTTAAAAAACAAAACAATATGATAAATGCTCCTAATGAAGGAAGAAGTGGATAGTCAATGCAGTGTATCCACTGGTTTCTTGCTTAACAATTAATTAGCCTGTTTTTGAGTATTTCTTTCAGCATAATTGCTTTAAAGCATCAAAAACAGTTATCACTTTTTAAAGGTTATCATGTTATATAGAAAACATTAATCCAGGTATGAGTTTCGAGGGGAATATATATATATATATATATATATATATATATATATATGATTGTCCTTTATAAAGAACCTGGGTAACTTTCTCTTAAGATGAGATTTTACCTTTCTCTAAGATAAAGATTTTACTTTAAAATTCATGGTCCTTTCTTCTTTCTTTTTGCTTTCCAGGGGAGTTCAACATTATATATTTTAACTCGTTCTGGAGCTGTCTTCTTCCCCATCCAGTCTAGAACTTTCAGACCATCCTTTCAATCATTTTTTCACTACTATAGCCAACTTTCTTGCCTCTTGAATCTAATTCAATCTGCCCAGGCTCAACCTGAACATTTGACATCTTGCTACCATCCCTGGGCTGCTGACCACTGCTAGGTAAAACTTGACAACCAGGGCTGTTGTAACCTCTATAAATTCATGGTCTTTAATTCAGTAGGCCCTAAAGGTGGCCTTGGCAATCCTTTTTTTTCCCCCTAAACCATTCTCCTTTTTGTGGCTATTCTACACTTTTACCCCTTCTTTAAACTTCCTCCCTGCGACCTATTCCCTCAGTCTCAGAAGATGATCTTAACTCTTGTTTTATGGAGGCCACTGGGTAGGATCTCGTGACCTTCCTTCTTTACTACCGTCCCCATCACTACCTACAAATTTTCTCTTAACCCCTATCACCTTCTAGCCACTTTCCTACTTTTTCTCTTTAACCTCATTGCCAGGCTGCTCAAGGGTAGTGCCCACTTGCTCACCCTGCTACTCTGTGGCTTCCATCCAAACTGATCTCCACAAGGTTACCTGTGACCTAACCAGTAAAGCCTGTGAACATTTTTCAACCAGCCCTTTGTTTGGTCTCTCTGTGGTATTTTATCTTTATTGAACATCTTCACCTTTTAGGAAAACCTCTCTCTTTTGGATTTGATCCTATCTTATCAGGAAAAAAAAAAGCATTTAATGATTTAAAAAGTAAAAATTGATGTGAAAGCTTATAGTCCATATTAATTGAACTTTTAAGAATTATATTACACTTTTGTATAAATATTATATAATTTAGTGTTAATTATACTTTTAAAAATATTTATTTCTTAAAATGCTTGACTGTAGTAATTATTTCATTATGTATATGCATTAATATACCAAGCATCAGGTTGTATACATGAAGCATATACAGTAAAAACATAAAAAATATATGTAATGTATTATTTATTCCTTGGTTTCTTCTTTCCTAGTTAATGAAGGAGTTCCCCCTTCTGAGCATGTTCAATATCCATGAAAACCTTTTAGAAGCCCTTCTGGAACTACAAGCATATGCTGATGTTCAGGCAGTCTTAGCAAAGTACGATGGTAAGTCCTTGGGTATTTTTATTTACTTCCTCTCCTCTTAATGTAGTCCCATGATTAGTTTGGAAGGATCGTTTCAGATAGCACAACACTTTGATATAATAACTCTCCTCTTACAGTATCTTCAGCTGCAGTTTTATAATGGTGTTTGCTAGAATCTTAGAATTTCATGGTTAGCAAGGACCAGAAATGTCACATTACATGTGCCCTGTTCCTCTCCTTCCCTCCCTACAGGTAACCCACGCTCTCCCTGTCAGGCAGTTCTGTAGATTCTGCTCTGTTACCTCCATGGTCAGGAACCACTGAGACCCTCACAGGTAGCACCTATGCTGTTGGGACAGCACTGACTGATAGAGCCATGACCCCACATCAGTCCACTGTGACCACTGCCGTTGGTCAAGTTGACCCTTGGTAGCAATATAGGACAGCTAGTTGCCCTTACACATGGGACAGCACAGTACATATTTGAAGATAAAATCATGTCCCCTTCATCCCACGTCTCCTCATTAGCAGAATATCCCCAATTCTTTACATGACGGGCTTTGAAGTCCCTTCACCATTCTTGTTACTCACCCATGAACTTATTCCATTTTGCTTGTTTCTAATAAACCAGAAAAATAAACTGGCACATCCTAGAGATTTTAAAACTCTTCTGCTCATGTTGCCATTATTTATGAATTTACTATTTGATTAATTGCACAAAAATTCTCTGCATAATTACCTGCTTTCATATAGCTACTGGAATCTCTGTAAGACTTTATACTATTATGCCTTATTTCAATAAATATCTTCCTAAAATAAACACTTTAGCTTGTAAAACAGATATTAGGGAGTGATTATTTATATTACATAATCACTTTTTGCTTTATAAAATATTATTTCTTTAGTAAGCATCTTTAGTGTGTTTAAAGAATTATTCAGATCACAAATATCCAGTAATTCATCAAACATAGAGAGCAAACGATACCATTTGGGTTTTATTTGTGACATATAATTATTTATAAGGAATCTCTGAAATGGGTTGGGGTTATTGTCCATTACAGTTAAGGAAACTGAAGCATTGTGAGACTGTTTTGTTTTTGTTTTGTTTTCCTCAAATTCTTGCTCAGATTGATGGAAACTAAAAGCCCTCTGCCAGTGATGGCATCACTTTGCCCGTGCAGACATGAGCACCCTGTGTAACAAGATATAGGATACCCAGGATGGAACTGATTTTAGAAAGAGAGAAAAGTATTTGTGGAGCACTTTAAAGTAAACAAAATAAAGACTGTTTGGCTTTCACATCAGCTCACTTTTATTCTCTGTTTATGTGCTGAAATCTCACTGTTCAGCATAACAGTGGTCTAAGTTTGAGGGTCTGAGCTATGAGGCTACCTTGTAGGCAAAATGCTCATACATTGATATTCCTTTAGTACCAAAGGAATCCAGTCCTTTGGAACTGTGGGTTCTGGTGGCAGTGCACTTTTCCAAATCCCACTCTGTAGCCACTGGTGCTATGGCAAGGTTCCAGTGTTCTTATCCCCAGTGCTGACCTGTACTCAATCTGATATATCAAGGCTTAAGAAATAAAAGTTTAATCAGTATAGCCTTTGGGATCACAGGTCTCACAAGGCCCCTTTCATGAAGATCTCAGTTCATTATAGAAATCACCAGCCTCGTGTTGTAAGACTGATTGTAAAATAAAGAAATGAACTCATTTGGAGCTTTCCGTTGCCCCTGTCTGTCCCATTGCACAGCCTCTGTTCCACAACAACTGAAAGCTGATTTATGAGATTCTGATAACATATGTTCACATTATTTGTTACAACAGCCCGTCCCACCCTCCACTAAAACTTGGCTCACACTTTGAAAAATTCCTTTGTTGCAAATGGACAAATTCACCATACCAAGGCCCTTGTGTTGAGCTTTGTTTATGTTGTGTACCTGGCAACAGAGATGATGTTCTTATTCATTATTCATGGAAAAAGAGCCTCATTAGTGGCAGGACACATACTGTTGCTGAGATGCCTCGTTAGGGGTTTTGAGTTCAGCAATTGTCAATAGAGTGCAGATGACCTAACCCCGACTGAATTCTGAAGGGAGTTTTGGCGCTGACTTGGCTCAGGCCTGTATCATTTACAGTAGAAATATAATGAAGTGGCTGCTGAAGTTACTGTTCTTGAGGGGTGAGCTGCAACCACTCAAGATTGTTGAAAAACATGTCTCTTGTTCCTTACTCCATACCATGAAATGAGTTCTTTCAAGTTCATCTTTGCTGCTTTTCCTGGAGACCTCTACTGAGCTGCTGGCTCCTTATCTGGCCTTGGGCAAGGAAGTGGATGCTTTAGAGGGCTTGGAGTATAGACAGCTATTAGGGGCGCCCTGTTCTTCACCCTCATTCAGATGTCATCATCTAATCCATGAGATGCTGGAGACAGCACTTTGAATCCCAGCCTCTCCATCCCTCTTAGTAGAGCCACACCCAAGCAGCAGGATTATATGTTATCTTTGCTAATTGGAATGCTCTGGTTGGGTAGCTGTTTCTTGGATGGTTTCTGAGTACAGCAGTCCTTCCTTTATTATATTTGCTAGGTGGCTGAATTTTTTTAGTAGTAGGTTGGGGAGCAACACAATGGGATTAGTGCTGCTTTTCTGACTTTTGCAAAAAGGATTTAGAAAAATGGCAAGGCACTGGGGGGAAAAAAGAACATCTTTTAGGGGAAAGGAGGGAGGCAAAATATATTCATCTTGGCTCATTCTTCTACACTATAAAAGAAATGGCTTTGAGTTTGAAAATCAGTGGCATTCACAAACTCCTCTTACAGTGAAGTACTTTGAAAACTCTGGGTCTCTACAAGGATTACCAGTTAATTGGTCACACATTGTAGTCTGCAGTCTAATTTTGGTTTTGCTGTTGAGATAACCTCTCATGTTTTATTATTCCAGCCTTTAGTCTGAAATGCTATCTTGCCATCCTCAGGAGTTTTAATTCTCTTTTATTTTCAATTTATTAATCAACATATGGGTTATCAGTTTTTGTCTAGGTGGTTGGGTCTTGTTCTGTCATGTCCTTCACACAATAACTAAAATAACAGCAACAGCTAGCATGTACTGGGTTCTTGTAATGTGTCAGTATCAGACACGATTGTCACCACAAGTATATTTGGTAGATACTATTGTTAACCCCATTTTACAGCTGTGGTAATTGGTGTGGAAAGAAGTAACTTGCTCCAGGGCCGTGCTTTTAACCATCACACTTACCCTCTCTCTGCTGTTGGCAATATTTATTTACATTGTTTTCATAAATGCCATTGCTCTTATTGTTGTTATTCGCCAAAATTTATTGGGAGCCTACCACGTGCCACTCATGTTATACACATTAGCTGTATCCTCACAATAACCTTGCAAAGATATAGTTATTCCATTTTAGCAGATGCAGAAACTGAGGCTTTGTGAGTTTAAGTAACTTTCAAGACCACATTCCTAAAAAACTACGGAGCTGAGATTCAAATCCAGGTCCAACTGGCTCTAGAGCCCATGTGTTTTCCATAAATGTAAGCCTCGCTAAAGTGACGTGCGTGCTCTGCCTCTCTCAGAGGCAAAGGCATGAATTAGGTGGGCCGGAGCCATAGTGCAGAATTTCAGTGATGCCAAATTGTCTTTTAAGACTCCTTTCTAATCATTCTTTAAGAACTGAGTATATCTATATTTGCTTGTATTTCAGAAACTATCTTCCAAATATGGCTTTCCATCTTCAGTTAACTTGTACCTCATTTCTTTAATTGCAAAGGGGATTTGATATAAGGTGTTCATTTGAGTTTTATCACCTTTTTTTGTTCAGTCATATATTTGCTATAAACACAGTGTTTTCAAGATCATTAAGTCATGAGAACCCTGTTTTAGAAGCTATTGCAAAAGTTATTACAAGTTTTAGATTGCCTTTCAAAGACGTTTGTTTATAGGCCACCTCGGTTGAAAACCTAAGTCTCAAAGATTAGGATGATAATGTGGAAAAGAATTCAAGTGTTTCTTATTCATTATCATTTGTGCATTTCAATTTTTGAAGAATCTCATAGAACAAGCAAATGTGAATCTGAGTGCTCTAAGGTACCTTTGGGACCGTCTAGTTCTGCCTGTGTCTAGTCAGTGATCCCTGGGCACACCAAAAGGCAGCCGGGAGTGGCAGTGAAGAGGTGGGTCAGGTCCCAACTCTGCCTCTCACAAGCTGAGTGGACTTGAGCAACTTGCTTACCCTTCTAAACTTTGATTTCTTTCTTTGGAAATTGAATCAAGGCTTAGAAAGGCCAACTTGCCCAAGATACACAGCTGTTATATTTGTTATGAGAATTAAAGTAGTTCAATCCATGTTTAGACAGTGTTTAGAACAGTGTGGGACACACAGTAAGAGTTCTGATGCTATGAGCTGTTATAAAGAGCCAAGATTGCCACTCCTAAACTTCACCACTGTTCTCCATCAATCTTGTTCAAATAGAAAACCATGAAATAAGAGAATAAGAGCCCAGTCTTGTGCCCTGCAAAAGGACAGCATTATAGCTTGTTATTAAAATTAATTATGGTTCTAGTAGGAAATATAGAGAGAGAGATTTGATAAGATCTGAAATTCCTAGTTTTGTCTAAACTTTTGGAAAACTGTAAAAAGAAATGCCAGCGATTTTCACTCCTGATCAAAGGACAAATTGTTTCTTTGGGTTCATAGCAACTTCAGCCTCTGAACTATTTGTACAAACAGAAATACAGATCCAAGCTCTTTTGGGTATTTATTCCATTAAGTCATTTAGTGATTGCCCTAAATTTGGGGGCAGAAACTTCCCTGTTCTTCCCTTCTTTTCCAAAAGACCAGGGACAGCTGGGTTTTTTTTTATAGTCATAACGTTATATAAATGCAACAACGGTATCAACTGATGCCATCAAGCCCATCCTAAATTAGCATTATCATCTGCCATCTGGTAATGTACAGAGGGTATACTTTCTAGAACAGGACATTAGAAATATTTTCATCTCAG